CGGAGCTGGGAGGAAGGGAGAAAACGAGCTTTTGGGAAGGGAGGGGAGGGCCAGACCTTGCCGAGGCGAGTCGCCTCCTCAACCAGCACAATATCCAGCTGCTCCTCTCGTGTCCTTGGGAACAGCGGAGAAGCCGGAGGTTTGTTTGTGCCCCGACGGCGTGCCGCGGCGTGGGGCTTTCTGCGGCGGTTGGGCTGGCCAAGGTCCTCCCAGAGCACCGGGGACGTGCGCTGTGATCTTGGCTGGCTGGAAAAGAGGCAAAATGTGCTCCAGGCTTGTTTGGGGAGGGTTTTTTTTTTTTTCCCCTCATCCCTGAAGCTCGTAGGTGCCATTCAGGGGCTTGGCATGTGCCGTATCCTCGTTATTGCTGACCTTTCCTTTCTTTTCTCTGCGAAGGCAGTGCCTGAGTGCTGCCGAGCTGTGACTCCCGCGGGCGGAAGGAGGTGTTGGATGGGTGATATCATCTCCAAGCAATGCCAGGGATGCTTTTGGTCTCTGTGCCTTTTTTTTTTTTTTTCTCTTTTTCCCTGGAGCTAAATGTTTCTTTTAGCTCAGTTGCAGTCAAGGACCATAATTAAATAGGCTGCATCTGCTTGAAGTCTTAGCTACTCATTTTGCTAATGCGTTCGGGCAGATGCCGAATCGTCAGAGACGATCGCTGCCGTGTCGAGCGCCCCGGTTCTCATGAACGATGTCTCCGTAGGAAGAGGAAGTTGGTTGTAGGACAGGTACTGCCTCAATACCAATTAAACCATATTGGAAGCCTCTTCGCCCTGCTCAAATGACAATTTCTTCTGGAAAATGGTCCTTGTTTGCGTCTTGATGTGCGTGGCCGAGCCTGGGGGATGTTTTGGTTTTTTCCCCTGTGGTTTTGCTGTTTGGTTTCGCTCCGTCCTCTCCGCTGTGCCGCAGCCTGACCCCTGCTCGGGAACACGTCCCGCTCCGGCAGAAGGGCCGGTGCCCATCCGCAGTCTGGGGCTGGCACGGGTGTGAGTGTGGTCACAGCCATCAGACAGATCCTACAGAAAATAAGTGGGAACAGAGTCGTGCTGCGCCGGGAGCGCTGCCGGCCCTCGGGGAGCTGTACGGTGGGCGACGCTCGCGCTCCTTTACGTTTGGTTTGAAGGACCTTCCGTTCTCCATCTCCAGCGGAAGGAAATCGTCGCGTGCAAGTACTTCTCTGGGATTGATTTCCTGCTGGAAATAGCTGCAGACTCAGCACCTGCTGCCCATATTGTTGGTTACTCAGAGGTCGCTCCTGCCTTCGCTCCGGCCGTGGCACCGCGGCGGGGTGGGCGCAGCCCCCGGCGCTTCCGCCGCGCCGGGTCGCCTGGGCGCTGTGCCGCAGGATGTGGTGAGGCCGTGGCACAGCTCTCGGTAACCAAAGCTGCTGCCTCCTGCGCCGCTCGCGACTTCCTCTAACCGGCCGTGTCTGCGGGGCGGTCGAGCACCTCGTCGGGACACGTTTTCGGGAGTTTTTCTTATTTTCCGTCTTTTGGCTCTCGGACGGCGGCGTTCGGGGTGGCAGGAGCTGTTTTGGCAGCGCCGTGTGGCACCGAAGGCGCGCGGGCAGTGGCCGCACCTTCCAACCCAGGGTCAGTCCCACCCAACGGCGTTAAAACGCTTTTTCAGTTTCTCCCAACGCACGTCGTGGCCCAGGAATTTGGATCTCTCTGCTCCTGCACGGAAGAGGTTACTGAGCCCGTTCCCGCAGGAAAAGCAGCGTTGGGAAGAGTCGAGCCTGTTCTCAGTGGGACGAACTGAAGTGGTTTGGGTTTTTTTTCCTTGCTGTAATTAAATAAGAAAACAAGAGGCCCTTTTTAATCTTTTTAATCTTTCTGCAGAGAAGAAATGCTGATTAGCACCACACAGCATCTGTTAGAGATGGGCTGAACTGTGGCAAAGGTAGTCTTGACCTTGAATTTGGGATTTCCTCGCCAGCCTTTGAGGATGCCATTTACCTACTAAACAACACCGTGGCTTAATATAAATCTCAGTAGATTTCTGCCTGGTGAAAGAGAAATGTTTGCTTGCTTGCTTATAAAATTATGGAAACTCTTATTTTGCCGGGTTCAGTAAGGCATCACTTTTAGTTCATTTCTGTTACTTTATTTATTTCTCCATCCAGCACATGTAAAATAATATTTTTGGCACACACAGCTTTCTGCCTTGAGCTTCCATGGAAGAGCAGCTTGACACAAATTATACGAGGGGATGGATGTGGGAACAAAGGAGGTGTAATTAGCTACAGATAAACAGAGCTGTGTTTCTCGTCGGCGTGCTTTCAGATCTTAACTTGTGTCTCATCCTCTTGGAGCTAATTCTTTTCCACAGACTGGAAGAGGAAGGTGAGCTTACCCTGGTCTTCCAGCTTTCAACCAGTCTGCAACTTGAAGTGAGCTAAACTGAAATGAAAAATATGTTTATGGTCTGTCTGCACCTGCAGAAGAGGCTGTGGCTGCTCTCAGAGCTGGTGTTATTTCAGGATATTCTCTTTCCGGGTGCCTGAGCTGTGACTTCTTCTTCTTCTTCCTCTTCTTCTTCTCGTTCCCCTCCACCCGTTCGTGTCCTGCCGTTAGCACTGCAGCAGCGCCCGCAGCTCCTGCTCCAACGGCTGGGTTGTTGCTGTTGGGCAACAGGCTGTTGTACATCTGGCAACGGATCTGAACCTTCTTGTAGGTCGGCATGACCTTCCCTTTAGGTAGGCTTGTTTCTGAAGACGGGGGGAAGCACAGGGATCCAGGTAAAACCTGGATTTTACCTGATCCAGGTAAAACCCAACTTGTTTTACCCTTCTTAATTGTTTGGAGCTGAATAGATGGTGGAGTTTCTCCTTGTTTCTGTTGGGGTCTCTCGGTGTGGTGACGTCGGGGTGAACAGACATCAGAACCATCTCCTGCAGAGGCTGCACCTCTTCCCCATGGGGTGATTCCCCCCGCCCCACGCCGAGCGTGCGGGGACACCTCTCGGGCGACTCTTCGTTCAGCCCAGGTCACCTCCGACGGCCGCACTGCCACGACGGGGCTGGAAGGAGGAGGGGGAGGAAAGAAAGCCGGCGGTGGCTTCCCCCGCTTCGCCGATCTGGGGCGAGGTCCCAGATGGTATCCCAGATCTCTTCCTATGGGATTTAGGCAAGGTTTCCTGTGGAGAGAGCTGCTCCTAATCGCTGCCCTTCTGTGCTGTGTTGCAGATCAGGACCAGATGAGCGGAGGGAGGTTTCTGTGAAGATCAGGGTCGCCCCAGCCCTGCCCCGGGAAGCGGCCCGGCAGTGCTGCGTCTCCGGCTGTCGTCGCTACGGACCTGGAAAAGAAAGAAGAAGAGAAGAAAAATGTCCCATGCTTTAAAGCAAGTGTTCAATAAGGACAAAACCTTCCGGCCCAAGCGCAAGTTTGAGCCGGGGACTCAGCGGTTCGAGCTGCACAAGAAGGCTCAAGCCTCGCTCAACGCCGGGCTGGACTTGAAAGTCGCCGTCCAGCTGCCGCCGGGAGAGGAGCAGAATGACTGGGTGGCCGTGCACGTGGTGGACTTCTTCAACCGGATCAACCTGATCTACGGCACCATCAGTGACTATTGCACGGAGCAGTCGTGCCCCGTCATGTCGGGGGGACCCAAGTACGAGTACCGGTGGCAGGACGAACACAAGTACCGCAAACCCACGGCCCTGTCTGCTCCTCAGTACATGAACCTCCTGATGGACTGGATCGAGGTGCAGATCAACAACGAGGACATCTTCCCCACGAATGTCGGTGAGTTCAGTCCCAGTTGCAGCCTGGGGGGAGGGCGGCTGGCGCAGAGCCTTCTCCTTTCAGCCCTCGGGTCCTGTTCGCTTCCAGGAGAAGCTGTTGCCCAGGTCACCCTTGCAGCAGAGCTATTTCCTTTTCTGCTGCTCAGAGGCTGGCAGTGAGTAAGCTCTTCCAAGCACCTGAGAAACTTCAGAGCTCTTCTGGAGTGCTAAAGTACCCAGAGCTGTACCAGCTCCCATTCGGAGTCCTGGATGCCTGGAGGAAAGCCTAGGCAACGGAAACAAGAGGCTGCTCTTAGAAAAGTCAGTCTCCGACATGACTCTTGAGTAGTTCATGCTGGACATGGGCTCCTGAAGGACAGCTCTTCCAGAGCTGATTGCTAGCTTGGGTTCGACGCGCGCTCGGCGTCAGCCTGGCCATGGTGGCCATGTTTCCATAATTAGCCTCGTCGTTATTACAGCCTGGCGTTGGCTGGCTCTGCCCTTCTTGGTGCTCCCTGCCACGTGCCCGGCGTTGTCTGCGGCGGTGGGATGCTGACACGTGTAAAAAAATTTATCTGTTGCTGGGGTGATGGGAATGAGAATCTGGCCTAAGGCAGCTCTGGGACAAAGACAGTGGGGTTTCTGGTTATTTTGTGCTGGATAAGATGTGGGAATTCAGTATCTAAAGCAATAGGTAAATATGATCGATCCCGTTCAGAGCTTCCATCTCCTGGGATGGAAAGGACAAGGTGCAGCAGAGCTCCCTCCCCTCTGCCCCGGCGTTTATCCCGTCAAAGCTCCGATGGGACGTGGTTGGCCCCTGTTTGGGACACGTCTGCTGCCTCTGCCTTGCGAGCATCCCCGGGGCTCTCCAGCCGTGCCAAAATGCTGCTGGAAGCTGGCGATGAGCGGGCAGAGCGGGGAGCAGGGC